CTTCTTGCAATTTGCGACAGACTTTTTTCTCCATTAGGGTAGCTGACAACCTTTGGTAAGTTTTTTATTAAAGAAAAAAAAGGTTTGTTGAGAAACTTTAGTTTCAGACAGTAATTTTTCAATGCAAAATAAATAACAGTCTACTTTTTTTTTTAGCTCTAGTTCTCCTCTTCCATTAAGAAAGCCATTTTTGTTGTCTCAGTTTCAGACACCTGAGATATGATCGTGGAACAAATTACATCAGGAAATGCCAAATGCACTTAAAATCTCCCAAAAAAGCCATTAAGTGACTGTTTTTGATTTACTTTTTATCTGTGGTGCCAAACGCAGGCTGCATCAGACCAGACTTCTGTCATTACCCATGTGGTGTCTCCTCCTGGCTTCCTTGCCGTCTCTTTGCTGTCGCTTATCTAATAAAACCACTAGCAGTCCAAAAAAATTAAGTATTTAAAACTAAAGGCCAAAAACTACAGTACACCTACCAAAAACAGAAAATTATGTTTTTCGGTGTTTACAACTGATAATATATCTCTTTAAAAAGCCAAGTATGTTACAGAAAAATATTTCCAGACACAAACAAGTGTGTGGGAGAGATACAGTGCATGTCTTTAATTAAGAGCCATGTTTTTGTCGCCAAAAAAAACCCAACTATTTTTTAAGCGATTAACTGAGAAGAAAAGAGGGAGGACATGCTGGTAAACTGCAGATAAAACCAAAAAAAAATGAGGAAAATAAAAAGTGGGTGGAAAGCAGAGCATCAGAAGAGAGGGTAGGAGGGCAAGGTCAAAAATAAAAGATAAAAGGCTTTTAAGTATCTTTTATCAGTGCAGAAAACAGCTGAATGTTTAGAGAATGTATCTGCTGGAGGCACCAGGCAGCAGAGAGATGACATTTAGAGAAGAAAAAGAGCAGAGAAAAGCAGCCGCTCACTTCCTCCTGAACTCCTAACCACGCTGTATAACAAAGTATAAACCATAGAGTGGATATTTTAACCCTTTTCATGCCCTCTGCTAATGTTTGACTTTCATTTAAAGTGATGAAAAACACCCTTCTTTCTCCCAACCACAAGACAAGAGGCACTAATTTGAATTGAAGATGAAAACCCAAGACCAGCCGCCTCTCCGTCATTTTTTTTTTTTTTTTTTTAAAAAGATGTGACACAAATTGACGCACAAAAACAAATACTGTTTTGTTTTGTTTTTTGGTCCCTGATTAAGTTTATTTAAATGACAGTAACTTGACAGTGGAAAGGAAGAAAAAGATGCAGCCAACTAGATTAATCATCATTCACCAACAGGCACACACACACACAGTTGACACAAACGCACACAATGAGAGATGGCATGATGAGCTCACTGAAGAGCTGTGTTTAGACAAGGTTTAACTGGCTACAGCATCCATTTCAGTCATTCCACAGAGTATTGACTCTGCTTCACGGGGAATTACAAGGGACACTGAGTGTTTTGTTGGCTCTGGGTTAATAAAACTATGAACCATTTTTCAAAGAAAGAGGTTGTAGAAAGCATGTGCGTCTCATCTGCTTACACCACAGTACAATCATGCACTAACCCACATAAATCTAAAGCCCACAGCTAAACATGCACAAGGCAAGCGAGCTATAAGCAGATCGTCAGGCTGCGTACATCTTTGCACCTTCATGATGGAATAAATCTGCACATTATTCCACCAAATGTGCAGATTTGCGATGTAAACAAGTGACTTCCTGTATGCTCCAGTAAGACAATATGCAATTACATAACATGAAATTATTCACAGTGTGGTAATTATCCCTTTGAAGTTCCTGTCTCTACTGGACCAGTGCAAATTAATGAGAGGGAGTGTGTTATAAAAAGGCACAATTTATAGAATTAAATGTCCAGAAAATTAACTATTGAAAATATAGTGCATGTAGATAAAATAATACAAAGTTACATATATCTCTATAATGGCTCATGCACAGCCTGCCTTCCAGTGCCAAGATAATGAAAGCGTACTGAACTGGATCAAAATTTATTTTTGTAATTAATTACCGTAGCTTCAAAATGTAGTCAGGCGACCTTATTTTCTGCAAAGTTTTAGTGTCTGTAAATTAAAAAATAAATAAAACTGGTACTTCTTCCACTCAGTGAAGCAAAAACTATTTAAGAAATTTTGTAAATTCTTAAAAAAAAACCAAAAAAAAAAACCAGAAAAATAAATAACTAAATAAATAAAACAAGGACTTTTTTTTTTTTATAGTGGCTGAGCCGAGTCAAGACATCAGATATCTGCTTGCGATTATGGGGAATCTGTATTAAAGGGACAAGATCTCTGGCACAAAGTTTGCTGAGTAGCTTTTAGTTGCATCTAATCTCTGAAACAATAGCTGTCGTCTGACAACGATTAAGCTTTAATTTGCTTTTTTCTTTTCGTAACCAATGACCAATGAAGAGAACAGGAATTTTTGAACTGGAAATCCATTATTCTTTATCCCCGATTTCCTGGCTACATTGGAAGCCCACAAAAATCCACAGGAGACTAACCAGACTGATCACATAATTCCCCAATTTATCAGACAGTCACGATCAATTCTAATCCAACTCGGCAAGAGAACAAACAAGTTTGTTTCCCAGTATGTTGATTCCTGTGGCCATGTCTGTCATTACTGCATCACACGCAACAGCATCAGTTGTTTTTCGCTCTTATGCCATTAAGCCTCACATTTTCATGAAATATCAGTTAATGCACCAAGTTGTATTTGTCACTGAGCCTGACCAGTCACCAACTGCGGGCTTAATATGAAAACAGCAGTGAGAATGACAACCGCCTGCGGCTACAAATTGTCATTAAAGTAACTAAGCACCAAACAGTGGCAGAGCAGTCATTGTGACCTAATGAAAGGGTTTGTGGGGAACAACACTCAGTAAAGCCACAACATCAAAGGCTTAAAGCCTGTCTGTGTTATGTAAACCCACTTTCTGGGCGAGGACCATCCATCAATCTCGACTCCAACTAGTAATGAAATGACAAAAGAAGATAAAGACAGACGGCGGGCGATAACAAATTAGGAAAGCTACACCAATATGTTTGCTTATAAGCACAAACATAATGGAGTCAGGTGGAAACTACCCTTAGTTACTATTTTAACACATTTACTGAACTCACTAAAGTATGTTAATAGGTGGTTGCTAGGCAACACGATGACATTACAATACATGTATAAGTCAAGGTTTGTGAAAATAAACTTGTCATTTAATCAAAATGATCCAATGCTTGTCTAAAGTGTTCTTGGTGCAAAATGCTACAAATGGTTCATTTTAGCCCATTGGTTGGTGGTTGCTAGGTTGCAGCATGATAATGTGCTAAAACGTAATATAGATGATAACCTTCAGAGCCCTAAGATCTACCTTTGTGCCAATTTTGGCTTCCCAACTCATCGTATAAGAGGTTTATACAGACAGTTTCTGGTGTTCTAGTAAGACACACGACCTTTGCAGGACTAAATTGTAATAATATGCAGGACGTGAGTTTGAAAAGGTTTATATAATGATGGATTATGTTCAATACAACAAATATAGATGACTGTAATGGGCAGGTAAATGTGATAATAGCATTCATTACTTCCAAATCCAGCAAGGGCTCAACAAACGGGTTACAAAAGTCTGTGACCATCAGATTCGCATCAAGTTGATGAATCAGAAATCTTTGCAGCCATTCATGCGGTGGTTCAGCGTCATTTTTCTCTATAACCTTGGCCTCTTTATAAATGATCGGAAAATGGAAGCGGGAGTGATGGCAATGTAGCGTTCAAGACAAGAAAACACAGAATTATTATTGGACTGGTGATTTCGATTCTGAAAGATGGATGACACTGCAGCGCTTTTTCAGGGACAAGGAGTTCCTCTGATAAAGCAATGAGATTGTTAAAACGTCGCTCAATGTAGAAGCCAAAAGAGATGACCGCAAGACATTTTTAAAAACACCTTTTCAACTTCAGCGAGAAGTAAAAAAGAAATAAATAAATACAAGAAAGAAGATTAGCGCCTGTTATATCTGCTGGAAGGCTGAGGTGAGGTGATTTTGGGATTAAATCATTACATAAAGCATAGGGTGATGTGCGTCAACTGATCCTGGAGGGAACATCTGGGTAAATGACAAGCAAGCTGGGGGCAAACACACACACACACACACACAGAGAATTCGTAAGCGGGACAGAACAAGGAGATCACTGAACTACGTTCAAGGTGTAAAAGCATTCACACGCCCTCTGTGTGCCCTCTGATTCACACACCTTTAACCAGCAGCATACACATACCCCAGCCCCTGTTCGGTAGCTGAAGGATGCGTTAATGAAGGATGACAGTGAGATAATAGGCTGGCACCTGTGCATATATTCCTCACATACTCGCGGTTTCTCTATCAATTTACGGCCCCTACCTCCAGTTGTCGCCTCAGCTCCTTCGCGTGGGCGGAGTCCTGCGACACATCTTCCCTCTGGGAGGCATCAGCGAGAACGTTGACCGTAGTCTCAGCCTCCTGGAGCCATTTGAGGAAGGACTCGAGCTCCCTGAGAGACACTTGCACACCCTTCAGGTCACTGTCCAGCTGCGTGTGACGGTCATTGGCCCTGTCCATTAATATGATTGAGACAAACGCATAGCTATATATGAGATATAGCAATAACTTCAGAAACATTTAATACTGTTAAAGGGTATTTGCCTTGAAGCACAGTGAGAGGGTGAGCGGGCAAATTTGTATGCACCTATTGTTGAGGCTGTTCCAGGCAGCATTGTGTTTATCTGCGACCTCTTTGATCCTCCTGGTGTCATCGGTAGAATACTCTCGTAAAAGGTGATTGGACAACTCGTTGAAGGCTGCGACTGTAGCTTGGCCTCGGCCCAGAGCTTGGAGAAACTCCTGTAAAACAATGCAGCGCTTTGATATTCGTGACACTGGACTGCGAGTCTGAGGATGTGACAGATGTGAGTCAGCGTGAATACTGTTAGTCACTGTGAAGGGCTTTGTTTATCATTATTGGAGTTATTAATCTTCCTGTGCCGTTTTCTGTATACTGTTGTGGCCTGGTATATGAAAAACTGCCGTGTGAGGATATTAATGACTCATTCTCTAAGCTGAAAAAAGAAATATTAAACTAACAACAAAAAAACAACAACACACACACACACACACAAATTTGTTATTCTGCTGCTCGGCTCTTTGACATTGTTTGTTTAACCTCTGCTTAATCAAGCACGTTACATTAGACCCTGGTGATTAAGACTCCAAATTCAGCATTTGGAAGTAAGTCATCCATAGAAGACTGCTGGGCTCCTTTTCTTTTAACAAAAAAAAGTGTACTTCACTATTTTAAATACATAATTACTCATTATTACAAGACCACACACCAGGAGCAAACAGCTGTGTATACAGCATCCTGGATTCTGTTAAACTCAGTTGCCCTCTAGTGTTCGGTCCCTGTAATCTGTCAGAAGAGGCAGGATTTGGTGCCAGAAATCATTGGCCAAGACATCATCTCAAATTAAAATGATGGATGATGTGGGTGTACGAACGTTATTAAAGTTCAAAGTGATACTTCAGAGAGGTGATTTATTCATTCTCGCCTTGTATAAACTTACACGACTGTATAAAGGACCTCTAATATGTTATAAAGTTCGCTTTGATCCATTATTTTTTTCTCTCCGTGAGGAATATGAGTAGACAAGCTTGCTACAGAATCACAGTAAATGACCTCAAGAGGACAGACGAGGCATACTGAGGTCACAGAGAGAAAGTTTAGCAGTGGGTTTTTCACCCACTAACCTTATTGTCTTTAAGCTGTTCAGTCAGGGGATCTCTGGACTGACGTTGAAGAAGGTTATGGAAACGTCCTTCGTGGTGCCCAATAAGGCCCATCACCTCCTTCCTCTGCTCCTCCCACTGGTTGCTGTGACCAATCATATTATCCAGCTGCTGGAGCCGAGCCTCGACACCATGCTGAGTGCTGTCCCACTGGCTGCGCACCTTCTCCACTAAAGCCAGAGACAGATGTGGTTATATGGACAAACAAAGGCTAAAGCACAACATACATATTTGCTACTATTTTTTTTTCCCCTGACAACTTTTTTCTTACATTTCTCAGTAATGGATGTGCGAACATCAAGGTTGGAGGTTTTGTTTTTGATGTTCTGCGCCAGTGTGAAAATGTCCTCTAGCTGAGGGTGACGCTGCTCCAGGTCATTCTTTGTCACCTGTCAAATGAAGAAACATACAAGGAAAGTTTAGTGAAAATTCAGTTTAAAAAAAAATAATGAATCACACACATAAAAAAACAAACAAAACAACCAATTTCTCACCTGAAGACGTCCCATAGTGGTCCTGATCTCCTGCGTGTCCCCCACGGTGACAATATTAGACTTGAGCATCTGGGTGATGAGGACTAGCCAGTCTGCAAGCTCAGTGGCAGTCTCGTTAAGATCAGTGGGCGCCACGGTGTCCGGTGTGTGCGGGGTTTGGTGGTGTGGGTCCTCGCTCACCAAGCTGGCCATCTGCACGGCTGAAGGGACAGCAGACACTGGAGCAGGGGCGGGGGGGGGGAGGAAAAGGAAAAAAAGGAAGAAATCTTGATCCAAGCAAGGTTTGACATATAGAGCTCCTTTAAAAGGAAATGATACAACAAACGTTAAAGATGTTAGAAGGAGGGAGGTGGTGTTGTCAAAAGGCTCTCAGAGGATAGTAGCACCACACCAAATCATGACAAACGAGCCATCAGGGACTGTTTTAGTTTGCTACAACCTTTGCTGCTCACCTCTTACTTGTTATTTTTAATCAAGCATTTCATGCTCCAGATTAAGGCAGGACAAAAGGGAATTGCAAATTTAAGAACTTATTACTTATTTTTGTCATGCCCTGTTAATGATCCACAAGCATCTCATTTTTAAATACTTCACTGGGGCAAGTTTTGGATGCATTCTTCCTTATGCCCTTGATGCACCATAAAAACAGAGGCAGCGATACATAAAGAGAGAAATAATTGCATTTCTTGGATTTTTTTTTTTACCCAGCTGCTGGTGTTGGACTACATGTTGGTGATGTGTCCATGGAGACAGAGGTGGCTCAAGAGATTCCCTCAGCCGGCCATCCAACGCTTTCCAGTCAGCTGCCAGCTGCTCAACCTTAGCCTATACACATGATAGCGCATAAGGAGACACACACAAACATATATATATATATAGACTTAGTACAAAATAATAGCATTAGAAATGGTGTGTAACCAGATAAAGAGCTAATTAAACTAAGAAATTACAGGAAATTGTATCTTTTTGGCCCAAAGTGAGGCAGCAGCACTTCAACAGTGCAATAATGTGTAATTATATGCCACAATCACTAGTACTTTGTTATTAAATTATATTACTATGGAAACCTTTTCTTGAGGCAACAGCTGCTGTCGTCTCTGCAGCTCTATTGAATGAGCTAACAGGTCCTCCAGCTCCTTCTTTCTGTCCTTCATGGAAGCCTCCAGATCCTACAGCGTATTTAAAAATCATATAAGAGAACAGGCCTGCATAGAATTGATGGATTTTCAGTGAGCACCAGTGTATTAGTTTTCTGCGTTCAGTTTAGTCCACCTACCAGTGCCTGGCCAGGATTCAGGCCGCGGGTCGTGACCGTCTGGTGCGTGATGACGGCCCAGTCAGTCAGTCTGTTCATCCTGTCTTGAAACTGGGCGTGACTTTGCAGGTTGGCCTCCACTTCACCCACTTTGTCCAACAGCTCATTGGTCACCTGCAGAGAGTGGTAGAATCAGGGATGAATCAGCAGATGAAAGGGAACTCAATGTTTCACACCAACCACTTTGAAGCCAGCTATTTAAATTACTGGGAGCTGCTACTGCTAGCCCTCAGCCTCCTGGTAGATGCACCTATGGTATAAAATTGAAAATTCTAGGTGATTTTCAGAAAAGTTCACTATGAGGTCGAGGTCACAGAGATTCAAACCCGCTCAAGATTTTTAGTAGATGGACATATGGTATTAATTTCAAAATCCTACATCACCTCATTTGAGGTTCTGCATTCACAAACTTGGGTGTGAATGCCGCCCGCTTGGTTTGTTTCATACCTTGCTCCAGTTGAGGTTTATGCCTCTGAGTTTGGCAACATGCTGTTCTCTGTTCTGCGGGCTAATACTGGGACTGGACAGGATCTGAGGAGCGTGCTTGTTAAGCCAGCCAAGACGCTCATTCTGTAAATCCATTTCCTCAGCAAAGGCCTGCAAGGAAAGATGCACCGAGGCTTAATTTCACCGTGTGATTGAAAATGAGAGATAAAGTCAAAGGACTGGGAAACAAAGAAGCAAACTCCTGTTGCACAGAGATATGTAGTGTGAATGATTCTACTCTGCAGTGTATTTCCATAAGGTACAAGTCTGAGTTTGAGGGCTTGGAGGATGTAAACAGGAATATTAAAAACAGGAAGTGTCAGTGCTCTTTCTGTTTACGTTTGCTGGGTGAGACTGGTTCTGCTTGTGACTAACTTAGACACTCTGAGCAACTTGTGCTCACAGTATAGCATAGAGGGGAAAGAAGAACAAAGGACAACACAACACAGTCAGAGCTGACCATAAAAATAGCACTTCCCCAGCAGCTCCTGAGCAGGAATAGAAATCTCTGAGCTCCCATGAATCACGCTAACTCGAGCATGTTTTGAGTTTTGCTTTACCTTCAGTTCTTTGAGATTTCTGTCAGTGGCAGTGACAGGCAGGGAGCCAACAGCATTTTCTGCCTGCTCGAGCCACACAGCGAGCTCCTCGCGCCTCCTCACCAGCTCTGACAGGGCCGGATCCCCTCCAGCCAACCTGCACACACACACACACACACACACCTTAGATTAGGATCTCCATTTCCTCCAGGTTGCAGGCCTGATCCTAAAAATTTACATTTAAATTGCTGTTACAGGCTGACTGACCGCATTGATAACGTTAACCTGACAAACACTGATAAAGAAACAGACTGATGGTAACGGAGAATGAGCACCAACCTCTATGCTACATTGTATTCTAGAACTAAGATGTTATATGTCAACACACAAGAATGTCAAACTCTAAATCCTCAATCTTTCCCCCTCGTTTGTACAAGGTCATTTTTACCTCCGCTGTCTGTCTAGGACTTGGCGGTTTACCGCTCTCCAACGTCGACCCAGAGTTTCCAGCTTCTCTTCAAGCAGGGGCCCATCAGGAGAGGAGAGCTTGCCAATTATCTGCTCTCCAGTGTGGCTGAGTCCAACCAGGACGGGCTTATGACTAGCAATGCCTTCTTCCAACTCCTAAAATGCATGCAGAACAAAGGAAGAGACAAAAGGAGAAAAAGAAAGGGGGGGGAAAAAAGGCTTCAGTCACACAGCATAATCTGATCTACTAGTGCTCAAATCCCAAGCTCAGGTCCATTTCTCCAAGCAAATCTCTTATTGACACATAGGCATGATTTGTAGCGAGTCACGACTTAAGCTGCCAAATCTCTGTTTCCACCGAGAGAGATTTAACCTGCCAAGACAGACTCGTAAAGTAGAGTGAGTGATTGTAAAGTCCGCTAAAGGGTGACTCAGCTAATTGATCTCTCAATTCCCATCCACTTGATCCCCCGTCTCATTCTCAGTGTCTGTGAAAACGTAAAAAAGACAGACGCACTGGACTGCGGCTCGAGCTTTTGCAAATCGCGCCGATAAAGGTGTTAATGGCACCGGCGCCGTCAGCGATAATGCAACAGCTTCAGAGAATTTAATTCCCCTTGCAAATGAAATTACCGCTTTAGCGATCAAACAAAGCGAAATTTAAGTCCCCTTCTAATCTTACTCTTCAGTTCACTTCTCTCCATTTCCACTCTGCATAATGAACAGTCAGATGTGTGGTGTATTTATTAGATACAGTATAGCACCCATTTTCCCCTGGGGGAGCCAAATGCAATTATCTTCTGTCCAACACGTCGAACCATCAAGCTGCCTATAGCGTGAACATATTACTACAGCATCCTTGGGAGTTAATAATCTTGATTTAAACTTGTAAACACACGTTGATGATGTGATATTGCCAAATTAATCGAATTAGTCTCTATAACAATAAAAGAAAGAGACCTGACAGGCCTTTTGTCACAAAAAATACATATTTATTCTGTGTCTGGGGTAAAGAAACCAAAACAGATTAGGAGAGAAAAAACAAAACAAAAAACTTAACACAGTCCAACGATTCACCACCCTCCACTGACCTCTTGGTATTGTCGTGCAGATTCCAGGTCCAGCTGTCCATCAGGGCTAACGCTCTCAGACAGCAGGTTTTCTGTGTCAGTCAGCCACTGACTGATGTCTTTCAAGTCACAGTGAAACTGCCCCCACTCCTCTACAGCACGGTCGAAACTCCTGCGGCACAAAAAGGAAACGCACATGCATCAAAGCTGAAATCTGGAGATAATCTGTAAAAAGAGGAAGGACACACTGACAATCTGTCCAACTTTCTGCCGTCGCTACAGACCCTTTCAACACAGCTGAACTCAAAAGTGTGGTGCACAGCAAAGGCTCTATGAAGCACTGGGCTATAAATTATATAAATATAATACATCACCAATAAAACAGTCATATTGTGGATATCA